TACCATTCATGAACCCATGCTGACTGGGCCTGATCTCCTGGTTGACTTTTAATTGATCTATATAACGTCTCCCAAGATTATCCATTCCATGACTTTCCCTGGCACCGAGGTGAAACTGACAGGTCTGTAGGTACCAGAATCATCTTTCTGGCCCTTTTTGAAGATGGGTGTCACATCTGTCAGTCCCCAGGACATCCCCAGTTAGCCAGGACTGCTGAAGGATGATGAAGAGTGGCTTGGCAACCACATCTGCCAACTCCCTCAGTATTCTAGGGTACAAACCATCAGATTCCATGAACTTGTGAGTGTCCAGCTTTCCGAGAACGTCCAAAACCATCTCATCATGGATTATGCAGAGCCTGCTCTGTTCTCCATCCCTATCTGCCAGAGCAGGGGGCTGTGTTCCCAGGGAGTAACTACTCTTACTAAAACTGAGGCAAAGAAGACATTAAGTACCTCAGCCTTATCCTGATCCTTGGTCACCGAGTTCCCCTCCATGTCCAACAAGGGATGGAGATTCTCCTTTGCCCTCCTCTTACTGTTGATTTATTTATAGAAAAAATTATTGTTGTATTTCACCTTAGTGGCCAAGTTCAGTTCAACTGGGCTTTGGCCTAATTTTCTCCCTCCACAGCATCACTACATACTTGTAATCCTCATAAGTTATTTGCTCCCTCTTCCAAAGATGATAAACTTTCTTTTTGTTCCCAAGTTCCAGCCAAATGTCTCTGTTCAGCCAGACCGTTCTCCTTCCCTGTCAGCTCATCTTCCATGACTAATAATGATTCAAGTCTGCCTTACTTTGTATTTTCCTTCTAGTTTTAAACGAGAATGAATAGGCCCTCAAAGACTTTGTACTTCTAGTTGGCCATGAACTAAAAACAGAGGGGAAGGAGAAAACAAGGAGTTCCACAATGACCTTTCTGAAAAAAAGAAAACAAAAGTAAACAAACAAACAAAAATTTCCCCTTCATTCGTAAGTAGAAGTGAAGAACTACATAAAATTGTTGCACATTTCCTCATTTATTAGCTGATCCTGAAAGGTCTGGATTGTGTCTTCCACAATGAAACTTGTTTCAAACGCTGTACAATGAAGGAAAAGGCTACTTTTCAGTCTGAAACTATATGCTTCTCCACAAATGCATGATATTCCCTTTTATATCTCCATTCAGGGGGAAGATGAGTCTAGATTTTCTACAGGAAGCAAAAGTTCTTTCTATTCTCTTCAGGTTGATGCATCCAGAATAACTAAAAAGGTGGACACTTCTGAAGACTAACTCTAATCCAACAGTTATGCAGGCCTACATTACTATCAAGTAGTATAAGAAAACATAATTCTTTGTGCTCCTAATCAATTCAGCTTTTGCGTGCTTTTTGATTCTTGTGTCCCTAAATAATCTACATTACCGTAGGCAATAAACTACCTATAGACAAGATTAGGAACTACTTGTTTGCTGCTGACTTTATCCAGACCAGATGAAAAGCTATGATGAAAAGTTACCCTAATTAGTGTCTTTTTGGGATTGATATTTTCTCTAAATAAGAAGTTATGATGGCACAATATGGATTATTTTGTTACTTATGAGTGCAATTAAGTTTTCACGTTATGATGGTAATAAAATAAAGATGTACAGATGTAAACTTTTTTTTTTTTTTTTAAATATATTTTTAATGTAGCAAGTGGCCACCATTTAGGTTGATCTAGATTTGTGTGAATCCATGCAAACTGGCAATATGATTTTACATCTGCAACCAGTACTGCAGCTGCTAATTTACATGTAACTCACTTAGTTGCTGGCAGCACAAGCACCTCTGTGATCTGTGCCAGCTTTTGGCAATTACACATCAATATGCATGTATGTACACAGAACAGAGTTGCCTCAGTCAGGAACTGAATTTACTAAGACAGTACAGCTAGATCAAGGGCACGGCTCCACAAGTGTACAGACCAGCAACAAGCCCATTATCCTTCAGTTTTCTTGTACTAGTTTATCCCTTACTACCTAAATAGCTGCCTTTGTTTTATTTCCATTTATTAGGGCTACTCCAAAAGTCTCTATTTTATTATGTGGGTCCACTAAATCAGATGTGGATGTTTGTGATACGGCAGTAGAAGCTGAACCTTCCTGATGACACTGTATATTTTTTTGCCATGCTGCAGATGGTAGCAGAGATGCAGTCCAACAAAAGATGTATGACATGGAAAAGCGTATGAAGCAAAAATGTGAGACTGACTTCCTCCACGCAGAAAAAATTGCCAAACGTTCATGAAAACCAGGCAGTGGATGTTAGCACAGTGAGGCAATGAGTGGTGTGATATAGCAGTGGCAACAGCAACAAGTGGATCGCCTCTGCTAGTGCAAATCTTTACGAGCACAGCAGGCAGGCTCTTGTTCCTCTTTAGCCACAATGCCAATGACTAGCTTTATTACTAAAACTAGGAAAAGAAGTGGTACAAAAAAACCCCCAAAAATCTGCTAATAGTCAGAGAACTAGCTGTTCATGAATATATATTTTTAATTTATACATTCATTAGCAATTTGCTTAACATCTACACTGTAAAATAACTGTTGCAACAAAGTTTAACAGCAAGCATAATTTACTTCAAGAAAACCAGAAAACGATGTAGTAACACATTTATTGATCACTTTACCAACTAAAGACACAAATTTAAACAGTCAGTCAACAGCAGTAACATACTTTACGAGAACTCCTGCTTTAAAAAACGGTGTTTACAGTATGGATTTCACTACAACTTCCCAAGCCAAGCTTTTACAGTGCTATTCAAATTGCTGTACTTCAACTTTTTTCCCAAAAACTTTGATAGTAACATTGGAGACAAAATAGATTTTCCTTTGTTAATACTTTCTTAGAATTTAATGAGACAACTCTGGAACGTTTAAAACATCCATAGCATTGTCATTACTATGACACTCACACTGATAAAGTGATACATTTAATACTTCCTAAAATTAATAAACAGTGTAAAAATATATTGCATATATATATATATAATTTGTTTCCCTTTCCTGAAAAAAAAAAAAAAAATTAGTACAAACTAGTAGTATATGATCCCCCTTCAAGTTTATTTCTTTTAAAGATCGAGTAGTAGTGATTTTAAATTAACAGAAACAAAGATATGGAAAGAGGGAATCAATGTTGTGATCCCACGAAACTTCTCATCATGCTTATTAAGCATATTAACCCCGTTACAATGGTGGTTCTATTTTGGCTAATGTCAGAATTCTCGCAGTGACTGCAGTGGTGGTAAGATTTTGCCTAGTGTGCTTTGCACCAGACAGTGCCTGGACCCCTTTACAATATGGTTAAAAGTCTCTGCTTAGGATATGTTTAGCCATTGCAGGTAAGATCAAGACACGCTTTGCTCAAATTGTTCATGTGCAATAACCACAAAAAGATTTCTCGACGTATTAGGGAGAAAAAAGTAAGCTTGCAAGATTAAATAATCTTGCAAGATTAAATAATCTTGCAAAGTTTTTACCATGTTAAAAATTCCACAGAGAACAAAGTAGGCAGTACAGCTGACAGCTAATATTACAAATGTCAAATGTTGCAAATACTGCAGGTAGCAGCTTCCTAGGCTCTTCTGTTCTGTTTTGTTTGGGTTCTTTTTAGACCAAGATGAAAAAGAAATCAAAACAAGAGCAAGAAATAGTAGAATTCACTGAAGGCTTTTATCATGCTGGACAGTACTCCATGGAAAACTATGTCCAGATCTACCTCAATTATTTAACAATTAGGTTTTAATAAGTGCACCGGGTAAGCAAAGATGAAACTGTTTTGCCTCTTTGCTTTACAGTCAGATCCTAATGGCATGCACATTCAAATTTGTGCAAATAAATTATCAAACCACCTAAACAAAAATAAGAAGAAAAAAAAAATCGGGATAGCACGGACAGATAAATAATCTAGCAAAGGAATAAAGCATGATGTGGATAGATTAATAAATGGTTAATGACTGAAGAAAACCAACCCCAGAGATTCCAAAAATATAATTCTGTATAAATATGTTCCTCTTGCAATATTTAAATCTGATACATAAAACCGTGCAAAGAATAAACATTAACATATGAGGGGTGCTCTGAAAGTAATGCCTCCTATTTTAGTGCGTGGGCCCACGATATCAGAGGTGGTTGTTGGTGGTATGGCAGTAGAAGCTGCACATTCCCACCAACACTCCATTCCATTTTGCTTCTGTGCAACAGATGCAGCAGAGGGGCAGTCTGACAAAATAGCGTCTGGCATGGAAGTGTGGATGAAGCAAAGGTGTGTCACTGAATTCCTCCCTGCAGAAAAGATGGCAACCACTGGCATTCATTGATGCTTGCTGAGCGAACATGGAAATCAAAGAATGGATGTGAGAACAGTGAGGCAGTAGCAGCTGTGTTTCAGTGGATTGCCACTGCTGGCACAGAACTTTACAAGCACTGCATGCAGGCTCTTGTGCATGGCTGGTAAAAATGCATAGCTAATGGTGGTGACTATGCTGAAAAATAAATGCCTCATAGCTGAGAATTTACCAAATAGTGTTACTGAGCTCCTTGTACCTGTTGTAGTTTCCATGGAAACAAAAAGGAGGCAGTACGTTCAGAGTGGCCTACATACTTACCCAACATCAACTATTTCTCTGCTTCACAGAAAGACAAATTCCTTTGCATTAAAAGCATCTTCCCTGATGTAGTAATTTGCCAAAAGTTATATATTCTGAACTCAGCACAAATATAAACACAGACACATCTCTGCTGCATCCTGTAACTTGTTTTTGTTGATGACCTTGTCATTTCATGCACTACAGTGCTAACAAGTAGTCTGCCAACAGATTTACCTACAGTTTATGGGATAACTGCCCTTACACAAAGCCTTTATAAAGAGCTAGTATGTATTTAGGATAAATGTTACAGATATTCAGCATTTCACTTGCATTAATATTACTCTACTGAACACAGCACAGGCTGCATTATTTCACATTATTTAATTTCTTTGTTTAAAAATAACATTTGATCAAACGCAAGCATGCAGAAAAGCATCCAACATAAGCTGGAGCTTAAAGTAATTCATCACTGTGGGTGAATATTACCACATAGATTGCTGCTCTTCCTTTCTTTTTCTTTTCTTTTTTTTTTTTTTTTTTGCATTTATCATCTACAGCATCCAGAGTAAAATGTAAAGAGGATGAAGTGTGAGTACAGTTTTAGGGCTTTATTTTAAATTAACTTGAATGCAACTTTATTCAAGTCTGTGACCTGTCCTGAACAATGTGTAATAAAAAATCTTGAATGAAGTCAAGTTGAAGTTGCCATTACATGAATTACCTCAGAGCTTTACAAATGCTTTTTGCAAGCACCATATGCTGTACACTAACTCATAAAAAGAGATGCTTTAAAAATATTTTTGAAAACTAAGTCATTGGATGCTTTACCCACAATGGAATGTGGAAGGTACTTATTATCTTTCCAGGTCACGTTAGCAAGTTGGGCTCTCCAGTGTCAATTTGTAGATATATTAAAAATAATAATAATAATAATCCAAAACCAACAAGCCAAAAAGCCTCCTCTGTACTCTAGACACTCATCCGTCCCAAAATAATGCAAATACACGTGTGTGAGTATGACTACAAAGCAAGATTATTGTTACTTCTAAATAATTTTGGACTACCAGTACGTTATTTGTAAATCTGTCAAAAATACTCAGTAAATATGCTTGTTGTGTTGTTTTTTTTTTTAATTATTATTTATTTATTATCAAGTTTGCTCTTGCCAAAATCTGCCTACAGTGGGCAATCAATTATTTGGAATGAAACAACTAAATTGAAACATTTTCCAAGAACTATAAACAGTTACATCTTAAACTTGTTTTGAATCCCATCATTTCTATGTGGATTTTGAAGAAATACAGCTCAGGTGATATACTAAAACACACACACACACAAAAAATAAACCCCCAAGTACATAACAGTTATTTGTTCCTGAAAATATAAATTGATTAGACAGTAAAGATCTGGAGGATCTACCTGCAATATTCGTTAGCCTCCTGAAGCATCGTAGCTGAGAAATCTTTTGAAACATTATTTTTGAGTTAAACAAGCAAGCATGAATGCAATGAATGGTCTGGCACTAGGTTTAGGACTCTGAAGACTTAAAAGGAACAGCTCAGTCTATCATTTCCAGCTTATATCTAGTTAGCCAAATGGGCACTTGGGTGCACAAAATTAGACTCTCAATGTCCAAATGCTATTTTATGGGCAAAACTCCAAATATAGGAGGTACACACCCATGAATCATGTACCACTCCTGACTAAGAATTTCACACAAGTTTGAAATCTGCCATGTTTCAGGTACTTCATTTTCTAAAGGTTTACGCAAGGCTCGAGTCTACAAACACTGTAAGTCAGAGTCCATCTCCTGCTCCAGTACACCACGATGTACTTATTCAACTGACGACAAAAAACTTTGCACATACATAATGAGTGTCAACTTACTTCTCAAAGTTGGGTTAAAGAAAAATACAGAGGGCATAATTTTAAGTGATCTCCTCGGAGCACTCAGAGGAGCTACTGATTTATCCCTGGCTCTTTCCTACTTCCTAACAAGGGAAGAACTCTTCTTGTCACAACAAGTCTATGTCAGATTTACTGAAGAACACTTTCCTCCAGAAATAGAAAGGGAGTAGTTGTACGTGTTAAAACATAAAAACACTCCTAGATCCCTCCTTTCATGCTATGGAGATAGAATGGTAGCATTTCCAACTGGCCCTGAATAGCTCCAGTTGCAGGATTAGAGCTTGGCCCTTTAAGATTTAAGGTTTAGGACAGTGCCTACACAGTTTAATTATTTATCTGAATCTAGAAAGTATGTGTGCACACAAACTTGTACAAGTCTCATGTATTACATTACCTACCATCAACTAACAGACAAAGAAAGAACGTAATATCCACACTACAAACAATGTACACAAAGCTGTAGTTATTTAAGTGCACACACAAGGCTAACAGTCAGTTTAAAGGATATGTACTAGGTGCAACACATTACATTTTATCTATCATGAGAGTAAATGGTTTGTTTCTTGGCCAGTGCTAACAGAGAATTCTTACTCACAGATGACAGGCGCATGCCCCCAGAATACATGCAATTTCTGTAAAGCTAGTTTATATTCCAAACAGCTGATACTTATCACACATGCAGACACAAATAATTGAAGTTTATTTTGTAACTATGACAAGGCTTAAGAAAAAAAACTTTCTTAACTACAACTTTGAAGGTTTGGAGAAGGATACACAAGGACTCTCTTGATACCTCTCACTTGCAAGCCAAACTCTTAACTAGTCATATACTCTAGTTCTGGATTATCAATGAATTCCATCTGCTATAAAAATGGTATTAATTGAGCCAACAGAGGGAAAACATGACTGAAATAAATAATACATGAACTTCATGATTCCAAAAAGTTATCAGAGGAAATTTTGATTGAGGTAATATCAGTAAAATACATTAAAAATATCATACTTTAATCAAAAATATCTTTGAAGGATAACCTCTATGTTAATGAAGAACAAGGTGTGACACATCAGTAGTTTGGAAATTACCCTTTCACTTTCCTAAAGTAAGAAAGTGGCCAATGTTCCGCATTTCCTTTGGTCTTCCAAGTACTTTGTTACAATTAATCAGAAATGTTCACACTGGACTGTTGAAACAACATATAACTCAATGTCTGCCTTTCAGTAATAATACTGTGATAGCTTTGATAGACATATGAAGGACAGTAATTCTTGTTTCTGATTTTCCATACAGGTATGACTGTTGGAAAACTCTCAACAAGTAACTAAAGCACAAAGAATGAGTAGAGGAATTAGCAAACAAGAGCTAATAATAATAATTAAAAAAATTCTTCTGCGCATTTTACTTAAGATTTCCCATAATATTACTCTTTTGCCTCAGTCAGGATTTGAATTTGTTGTTCTCAATCTGGTATAGGTAGTCTTATTAAGATTGCGAACTATTATAGTATCTAAGGCTTTAATTTTAAAGAAACGGTATAATTTGAGTTTGTTCTTAAATACAGTTATCACGAAAAGCTGCCTGAACTTTTTGATCATGTTTATCTCAAAAGAATGTTCAGCAGTACTGAAAGCAAAATTATTAAGAATAGTAGGGTTTTATAGATGATATCACGTAGAAGAGCACTGCAGATGGGCTGCTGAAAATCAGACTGGAAAGTCTGAAGGAATGAATTTAGATGACCAAAAAAAGGAGATGAGTGCAAACCTTATTAAGTACACGTCCTTACTTCAGGCATGTCATTTAGGTAGTCTAGAACAGTGGTGCACAGGATGATGAGCATGCTCTACTGCACCTCTTGACCTCTCCTTTCCCATAATCTCTGAATTACAAGCTGTGCTTGCTGTCCTAACAGTGCAGGGAAGAGTCAATGAACAAATAAAATACACACTTGGCTTCATTTCCAAATAGGCCTGGAACATTAACAAGCATGGCTAACATTCAAACTATTATTTAGGCTTTTCACTACCCACCAAAATTAGTGAGAAAGTAAGAGCATAAATGGGTGGCTGAAGTTCTAATACACAGATATATATAATGCATCTATGATTCTATGGTTTTATGCTTTCATTCATAGCCTGCGTCTTCTGTATCAAGTGTAGAGAGGAAAATGTTTACTGATTACTACTTTTCCAGCCACAACTTCCTTTCTTCGCTGTCATATCAAATTTCTTTTCATGGATTTGATAGAGATTTAAAGCTATCCATCTGCAGTGAAGAAGAAAAAGTGTGTCCTTCAAAATAGAATACCATATGCTATCTGAAGCACCTTTTCAGGTCCTGATCCAAAACTTAATATATCACTGTATATATTGCACAAATTTGCATCAGGTCCATCCAAAGTGTTTTGTTCTTGCAGGAATTTCATACTGTAATATAAAGTTAAGCTCTAGCAGACTTCTGGCTAGTTCCATCAGCCTCTTCCAAGTATGCAGTTTTGTTCCATTTCAAGTGCCAGCTTGTATCTGTCCCCACTCCCAATTCTTTTGCATGCCTTCTACATCTTACGAGTGTGCCTATTTTGCTCATGCCATGGACTAGCAATTTAAAACCTAGCAAGTCTGTAAAACTTTTCTAACCTGTCATTCCTCCTTCTGCAGTAACATTTTGGTATCTGCATTTGTGTACTTCAGAAAGCCTATCACTTGTGCACCTTAGGTTAGGTATCACCTACTATTCCTGTCATGACAGCTAGCTAGCAACAAACAGCAAGATCAAAAACGTGTTGGAAGAGCTCTGCAATAGACCAGACCTCACCTTTGATTCAAGCAGGGTCCAGATCTTTTCAGCTACCAATAAGTTAAGTCTCCGAATCAACAGGAAGAACAGGGGCATTGATCGTGCCTGTAACTTAGCTGAGGATTTGTCAAGAGTTACAGACTTAGCCTCTTTACTTACAAAAAATCTACAGGCCTATCCCAGGGTGTTCCTGAGGTGCACAGGCATGAATGCTGTATCACAAAGAGGGTTCTCTGCAGTTAGCCAGTCTACTGCCATGCTGGAAAAATTTAATCGTTGCTTGTATAACAATGTGTTATTTTCTTTTTCGGAGTGTGACAGGTAAGCAGTGCAACAAAGGAGCGTGTGCTCCTTCACTCCACTGAAACTTTTCTTCAAGAGCACTAAGTTAGTCAAGACTTCAAAAAGCTTCTCATCCTGAGCATCCTTAGATATGTCAAAAATCTTCCCAGATAAGCAGAGTCAATCATGGGAAAAAGATATTCAAATCCTTACAATAGCATGTGCTGAGTCTTCGGCAAACTTCCTTCCCTCCTCAAAACAAAAAACAAAACAAATTATAAACAAACAAAAAATCTTCAAGTTCATGAGGAAGTCCTTGTATTTGCACATTGCTGTTTGCGTTCAGGCTGATGCATGGGTTCAAAGGGTCATTGGAGGCTGAATTACAAGAAAGGCCAAATGTCAAAAAAACAAAACATGAACAGTTAGGGACTGAAAACCAGTGCGCTTTCTGTATATAGGCCAAATACAGATTGTGACCTGCAAGAAATATGATGACACAGATCAGAGTATACAGCTTATAACTCTGAAAGGCATGCTGATCAGAGTAGGAGAAAAACTGTAAACTTATCAGCCTTTATCCACAGTCTAAACATTAAAATCAGTGCATCTTTTTGAAAACAAGCAAAGCAAAACTACTAGAAGGTGTTTTTAAATACTCCAAAATATATCTTTTATAATTTTACAGACAGAGCAATACGTCAGAGTACTTGTTCAGCTCTCACAGAAAATTGAACTGGCCTTTTCTCTCTTGTTTAACCAGTAATATGTATGCACACATATACAAAGACAAAAAAAAAAAAAAGAAAAGAAAAAGGAGAAGAAGAAGAAGAGTGATTTTTATTCCTGTTAGCTCGTTTTGGCAATCTGAGCCAGAGGCAGGTCACACCCAGCTGCCTGTACCTTAAATGTATGCAATTGTTTTTTCCATAGAAATATAAAGCTATTCCCATCAATAAAATCACTCCCAAGTAAGGCAGCACAGAGAAACAAATCCTTTGGCTTCAGACAAAACTAACAGAACACGTAGCCTGGGTATAACGGTATATTTTTCTGTGTGATTAATTACAATTCATTATAATTAATTATGTGGATATTAATATTATATATTTCCTTAATACAAAAGGCCATAAACTTCCATTGCATGTGTTAGAGCTTAAAGGGGATATATGCCAATGCATGTGCACAACATTCACTTAATAGCAATCTGATTGGCAGTGTTTAGTCATATTCAAGGTTTTAAAGCATAATTAGTTCAAATTTGAGAACAGACTACAAAAAGACCTAGAAGACTTTCTTAGCAAGATCTTGTTCCTCACCCACCACGTTAGTACATTAGCTCCATCTAAATCCAGCCAGTCAGAAACGCACTACAGTAAACACAATAACAATGCAGAAAGAACAGACACGAGGACAGTAAGGGTTGGTATTTGCCTCTCCTTCTGCTGACATAAATACATCAGAACCTGTATTGTCACAAAAATATGTTTTTCCTTTTTTTTTTTCTTTTCATTTTTCATAAATGGTGTATGAAATTTACAGATTAGCGCCTTATATAATACAACAACTTACTCCACAATAATACACTGTTGAATCTTTTAAGGAAAGTGCCAGATCCCATAAAAGACATTTTTTTAAAAGCCCCAGAACAGTAGTGAAATCAAACTGCCTAAGTAATGGCATACTTTTCAGAAATGCTGCTATGAAAGAACCTTTTTTCAGAGGGTTCTCTTCTACAACCTCAGAGCAACTGGATATTTAGGAATGTTTGAATTTTTTTATTTATTTATTTTTTATTTTTTGCTCAGATTGACAAAGTGTGGCATAACAGCTCTTGACATTGCTTTTTTCTTTTCGTCTAAAGAGCTCAACAAAATGATGTCCTTTTTGTACTGGTACGTTTTCTTTTGCCAATATACACATAAGGAATGTAATGAAGTGGTGCTATGCTGCAAGTTGCTCAGCAGATGTTAAAATCAGTTCCAGTTTCTGAAAAAAACTTCTTGAACACATAGTCTTAGCATTCACAATAACTGAAACACGTGGGACTCATCTATGTCATTCTTAAAAATATATTCTCTCTTTCCCTTTCTCCCCCTGTATTTTAAACCTTCAAGCCTTACTTGCTTCCTTGTACTTTATGATCATATGTGCCTGCATGCTTATAGCCAGATACATATCCTGAAGTATCAACCAGATCTTCTCGGCCAGCTTTGCCTTTTCCTTTCCCACTGGGATCAAACCTCTCTTTGTGAGAACCCGTGAATTTTGATGTATCTGTAAGGCGTGACACAGTTGGAGAAGAAATCGCTTTCTATGAGAAGAAAAAGACAAGAAAATACACATCAGAAATCAAGTACTCTCAAAACAGATACTGTTCACAGTAACGAGGCTACCAATGGAGAGTATGTAAATTTCTACACATTTCTAGCAAAACTAAGCAAAAATATTTATTGGCAATATATTTAACTACAATAAGCATACAGCCAAGAACAAAACAGCGCAAGGAAAATTTTGGTGGAGACTTCCAACATGAGACACTTCCAATTAGTAACGAAGTTTCAAGTATCAAAGACATGAACACGCCATAGGGAGCTGCCATGTTTAAAACCTGTTAACTCAACATCCAAGCACAAAGGCCCAGCTCCAGCAATTTAGAATGTTTTAGTTTCAGCAAAACAATGTAACTAGAATTCCTTATTTCAAGAGACTGAGATTTATTCTAAGCTGTAGGGGTTAAGAGAGAACTAACAAATAAGGAGGACTGAATGTCAGACTTTCTCCCATGTTGTTTTGAGTAATACAATACTTAAAATCAAAGTTTTGCTGTTGCTGAGACAAAGATAACATGAGTGCACAAATAAGGTATTTCACAGAACAGTATGGGAGCACACCATGTGTGTGCTTGAATTGGGAACGGTCACTTTGATCTTTAATTTACATTTTAAAATCAGAAGAGAAAGCATACTAAAAGAAAAGGGAAAAAAAGATTTTTTATTCCAGTGAAAATGGTGCTAAGATGAAGAAAGTAATACAATTTGGGTATCCTTGTTTGTGTTACCATATGTTAGGATGCATTTTATAGATAAAAGTGACACTGGCTTCCTTGAAGTGAAGTAAATGTGCTGGGAAACACCCTTCATCAGAAGCTTTGCTCCCCACCACCCCCATCTTCAGCCTAAATAAGTGTTCATTAAAACCTAAAGGCTCTCAAAATAACACATAATTCTTCCACAGAGTAACGTAGCTTGAATGTCTTGAAAAGCTAAACATAAAAACATCAGAGACTTGGAAAACACACACCAAGAGAACAGAATACGTAGATTAGCCTAGAATGAAAGCTGCAACTGAGTCTTGTTCACCACAAAAGCCACATATCCTCCACACCACTGAAATAAAAGCTGTTTTGAGGGAATTTGTCTGCCCACATGCATTACTTACTGAGAATCTCATACTATAAACTCCTGCTTTTCTCCCTCCTAACATGCACAATACTGCTGTGCTCTGCAGTGTTGCTTTTACATTATGTCTTGAGGGGACAGATAACGCAGAGCAGGAGTTCTGTCACTGAAAGAAAATGACTTCTGGAGCATATTTTTCTTAAAAAGCACTGCTCAATGACCTTTGGGAACTTCTGCTCGGTAGTCTGAGTGCACTATTTGCAGCTGTAGCCATTTTTCTGTATTGAAAACAGAGAATAAGACTACACCTATGAAGAAGTATTGCAAGAAAACATACAGCTTTCTCACACATATTGGCCTGCTAGCAACTTATAACCAGAAAACCCATGTTCACAGCTGAGCTAAGTAGGAAAAAAATTGTGTTGTGATCAGTAACTGTGTTAAGCAGCTCAGCCAGGTAAAATGAAAATGCACTACAATGTATAAGCTGAGACATCATGAGTAGCAAGGTAAAAACTCCCGGCCCGGCGCCCAACAAAGAAATTGCTCTACTTTCCTCAAAGTATTAGTAAATTGAACATGCAGGATACAGTCACAAGGGAACTCTGCCCACTGGAGATTATTAGAAAAAAAAAAAAAAAAAAAACAAACAACAACAACAAATGAACACACTTCTGTAAGATTGTCTCCTTCATAATGCTGTTTCGTAGACTAGCTCTGAGACATGAAAACGTTCTGTTATAATTTGTTCTTCACCTGCAACTCAAGCACTTTCTCAATGTTCAGCAATACAGTCAATTATAGAAAGGTGACAAAACAGCTCTATGCTTTAGTACCCCTATGACAAATCTTAAAGGAAAAAAAAAATCATGCTGGGACAATGGTTCTGACCTTTGTCTTCATATGTGTTCACTGACATTTTAAAATACTGACACGTGCACGTGTGAGAAGAAAAAAAAATGTCAGAACTCTAAATAAAAGGTTCACTGACACCACGGAAGAAAAAGAAACTGTTTTTGTCCAGAAAAAAAAAGAGAAAGGTTAAACCCTAAAGCCCCAGAAAAAGCAAAATCACAAATCCAGAGCAACAGCAGCAGTGATGCCACATCATGTGCTCTTTCAGCCCAAGATGGATCAGAAGGCTTCCTATATCAGAGGAGTTACAATGCATTAAACAAGCATAAGAGCAATTGCTGTGAAGTATGAAGACTTTCTCCAAGTTGCTTTTCAATGAGTAATTCCTGAAGTCTTTCCTAAATTACATGTGAAAATCAGAGATAATAAACTGCCATAATAAAGCTATGCTATTCACCTCGCTTCTCCCTTCTGTTCTCCTTCTGTGTTCCTGATGACGAATGCTTATATTAAAAGCAAAACATTCCTTCTCCTTTGGGTCACAAAAACATTAAATAGAAGGGCAGGGCTCAACTAAGCATCCTGCTTTTTTATTTTCCAAATCGACTTTGCCTGTGTAAATATGGAGTAGAACACACACAGTATAAAATGTTTCTCTTTTTACTATCATTTTTATCATGAATGGCCTTTATGAACTCAGTGTGCACATCTTCCATTTGTTTGCAGGAACAAAAGCATGACCAGCAGGTTGAGGGAGGTGACTGCACCTCTACTTTTCTCTCATGAGACCCCACCTGGAGTACTGCATCCAGTTCTGGGGCTCCCAACACAAGAAGGCATCCAGCACTTGAGGTAGATCTAAACAAGGGCCATGAAGATCATTGGAGGGCTGGAGCTGCTCCCCTATAGGGACAGGGTGAGAGAATTGGTGGTCCTGAGCCTGGACAAGAGAAGGCTCCAGGGGGACCTTACAACAACCCTCCAGTATCTGAAGGGGGCACAGAGGAAAGCTGGGAAGGAACTTTCTGTAAGGCCATGTTGCATAGGGGGAAATGGCTTTAAACTGGATGAGGGTATATTTAGACTAGATATATGGGAGAAACTCTTTACTGCGAAGGTACTGAGACACTGGGACAGGTTGCCCAGAGATCCTGTGGATGTCCCCACTCTGAAGGTGCTCAACGCCATCCTGGATGGAGTTTTGAGCAACCTGGTCTAGTGGCAGGTGTCCTCTGCCTATAGCAGGGGGGTTGGAACTAGATGATCTTAATGGTCCTTTCCAACCCAAACCTACGATTCCATGATTCTGTGATAAAATCAATCAGCACCTCCAAAAACTCTACAGAGACTAAGCTGGCAACCAAAGGGGAAAAAAAATGTAAAACCTATTTTCATTACTAATTCCAGTTGGGTAGTGCAAGACAAAGAAAATAAAGGGAGTGAGGGAAATAGGGGAAGAGAAGCTGACCATTGTCAGTGGGAGAAATACAAAAAATACTGTGACCAGCACAAAGAGCTGAATGAGGACAATTTCCACCTGAGCACCTTCTTTTCCACTGGGATTCACAGACAAATGATTCTGTCTCATCACATAGCAGTTCTGCTCCTGATCACCAACTGCTGGAACTACTTACTATCTACAGTAAGTTACATAATCTAGTTATACTTTTCTAGTGGCAATAAACTACTTGGAGCAACTTCTCTTTTTCCATTTTGTGAGCTGACAGAAGCCTTCATTTTTCTTCTGCTCTATCTGCACATGGAGTTCACCACAAAGTAGGCATACCACAAAAGATACACGTGTACATAAACATCTCAATTCTTCTTTTTAAAACTCTCATTACGAATAAATGTTTTATTTTGCACAACAAACTTAAGTATAATGAATGTGTAAACTGTTGGAAAATCAAGCAAACCTGCCAGCATAACTCCCAAAATATCAACACTTTTGTTCTCCAAGACCGACCATTCTTCCATTCACTCACATAACTGTTTTCATTAACACAAGCCTGCAGTGTAACCTGTATTTTTACAGGTATTTTCCTGGAAAGCTGCTTTTTAACTGTATCTCCAAATTGGTGGAAGCACCCCAGATGAGTCAGGAATGGCATGCATAACCGTTCCCCATCCCTTTCAACTGAGTCTCCCCTCACACTACAGTCACACTGAGAAGATAACAGGCCATTGTCTCAGCAGAAGCTATAGAAAGTAAAAAGGAATTGTCTTTACACTAATTGATTCAGTGGTTTAAAATGACTGCATAGCTTTTGTTAGCAATTCACTACTCTTTCCCACCTTGCAGAGAAGGGCTGATAAAACAGTGAGGAACTTGGAGTGTGTGCCATACAGGGAAGAGCTCAAGGAAGAGGGTTTGTTCAGCTGTAGTGGGTAGGAAGGAAGGAATAACCCTTCTGCTGTTTTCAACAGTGGAGTTACAGAATAAACAGTTTAAAAGTGCACAGTGGGACCAGTTTAAAAATACACAGTAGGAAAAAAGAAAAATATCTTTTTAAAAAAGGGAAAAGAATAGATAACTGTCGTAATTTCGAACATGGGAAATTATAACTAGATGGGAATTTTTTCCACGTGGAAAAAAAATTCTTCACCATAAGGTGAAGGCTAAGCCTAGAAACACCTTGCACAGAGAGGTTTAGGGATTCTATGTCACTGGACGTTTTTGCAGCTTAAAATCATAAAACACAAAATGACCTAGGTTAGAAGAAAACTGCATTTGAGACTGGATGCAGTGCAAGCCCTTACTAACAGCAAAGCTCAAAAGAAAGTTTCTGAGAGCTTGCTCAGAAACTACTACAGTTCAGTCACTGTATTATTTATTTGCTGGTAACATCCAGAAACTTTGTAAAGAATGACAACCAAGAAAAAAAACTTTTCAAAGGGAAGGTGGTTTTTTGCTGTCCTTTTTTGTTTTATTTTTTTTCCAATATTTTTCCAATTTTCTTTTCCTTCCCTGTTTTCATGAACACATCAAACTTGAAAGAAAAAGCTAGATTTCATGGATGCTTCTTCCTCTCAGCACGCAAAAAGAACGCGATAACTA